GCACTAGCAGGTAAAGCGCGCAGCGTGCCAGCAGGTGGGTGAGCACGTCGTCACCCACGCGGCGCAGCAGCAGTCCCCAGGCACCACTGCCACGCAGCGTCTCGGTCACAGTGTTGGGCAGGTAGCTGCGCACGTTGGTCGTGAAGGCCATGGGGAGGCCGCCTAAATTATGGAGATTTGAAAAGGTTAAAAAAAAAAAATCAAAGAATGGCAAATGATGAGGTAAACACTAACCAAAAAGAAGCCAGTGCAGATGTTCTCTAAGCTGTTCTGACAGACTTTAAGGTAAAAAGAATTAGTAGACGTACATCAGGAAGATAAAACTTCTCAAACGTGCTGAGCCTAACGAAACCACGCAAACACTGTCAGAACAGGAGGACAATGAGACAAGCGCCGCCCAGCACTGGGCCTCGGGAAGGACACACAGTTTCCCACAGCGCCTAACAAGCCCGACACAGTGAGCACAGCCACCTACCGGGCCTCCAGGACACAAGGAACACTGGTGAAGACTGCCGATGAGACTACAAAGCAAGTTTCAAAGAGCTCAGGTCTCACTCAGACCTACACAGCTGAATCGGAAATCAGTGACAAAAAGATAACAAATCCACTCATTTGAAAAATCTAAAATACATGTCTAAAGAACTCACTGATCAACATGTAAAGGAGAAGAACAGGGACCCAGAGGCAAGTGTGGGACAGAAGATAGGATGGGAGACAACGGGGTCTCCCATAAGAAATGGCAAAAATACTTAAATGCAGTCGATACAAAAATGTGAGCAACACATCAGAACACAGGCGCAGCTGGGCAGGACCAAAGAGAAGGCACCGTCAGACATCCACCTGAGAGGCCAGAGGACAAGCCCAAGAGCAGAGGAAGGATATAACCATCAGAAAAACTAATGGAATTCAAAACAAAGATCCGGTAAAGGCCCCACCCAGACTCTGCCCTGAAGGTAAAGGTGGCCTCTACAGGAGGGACACACTTGGATGGTAGTTCAGGAAAAGTGATGGTGTGGTCAGATGTGAGTTGGAGGCAGAGCACCACCTAAGCCAGCAGCAGTGTATGCCCAGGTGAGGGGCAGGGTTTGCCACCAGCCCAAGGATAAGACGGCCCAGGGACACAGTGAGTAAGCAAGCAAGGAGCCATGGCAGCTCCTGAGTTTCCATCAGGAACCTGTCTTGCGATGTCTCTAAACACTACAGCAGACGCGTCAGCTGGCAGTCTGGCCTCCAAGGCTGGGGACCAGGCAGCTGACGGGAGTCAAAAGGCAGCATGGCAGGTGGACAATGGTCAAGGCTGGCTAGACAGAAGCAAAGGAGCTGGATGCTGTGAACAGAGCGCCTGGCAGGGCAGAAGGCCAGCACAGAGGAAGGGGTGTCCCAGGAGGAGAGGGTGGAAGAGGTGACCGTGAACAGCCGTGATTGGAGAGGTGGCTCAGAGGCCAAGGCTGTCCGTGCATCATTTATTCCGCCAGTGGGCAGCTGGCATGGCCCAGTCACAGAAAGAAACAAATGCCTAGGGTACCTCTTGAGTGAGCAAGGATGCTGCAGAGGTCCTAGTCGCCTGGGAAAACACCATGGTGGAGCAGGGCCTCATTGGAAGTTGGGGAACAGAGTCATAGAAGTCAAACTCTCGTTTCCTTTCACAAGGCAAGCAGAAGCCCCAAGTACAGTGAGCGTGTGACAGCTAACTCAACTGAGTCTGACACACCTGAGGGTCACCCACACTGTCCCACGTGGTCTATGGGTGTACGAGTCACACAGTATGAACAAGTTCTAGAGATCTGCTGTGCAACCCTGCTTACACTCAGGACTGCTGTCCTGTACATGCAAACAGTGGTTAAGAGGTAGATCTCACCCTAACTAGTTTGGCTCAGTGGATAGAGCATTGGCCTTTGGACTGAAAGGTCCCAGATTTGATTCCGGTCAAGGGCATGTACCTTGGTTGCGGGCACATCCCCAGTAGAGGGTGTGCAGGAGGCGGCTGATCAATGTTTCTCTCTCATGGATGTTTCTAGCTCTCTATCCCTCTTCCTTCCTCTCTGTAAAAAATCAATAAAATAAATTTTTAAAAAAAGAGGTAGATCTCATGTTATGTGGTGTTTTCTACAATTAAAAAAAAAACACAAGTTGCCAGAAGGTCACCTTGCTGTCTGAATCACCTCTTGGGAGTCTGAGAAGGTGTACCCCTCTCCCTCCCTGTAGGACATCCCTGCTATTGGGATCTTTGGGGATGGAGATGGGCATTTTTAAGGTCCCCCACCCCAGAAAGCTGTAACATGCATCTGGTGGGCTAGTCTGGCTGTAACAGAGGGCTCGAACCATCTTTATTCTAAAGTCCTAGATGTCTTGGGAGTTGGGGGAGATCAAGTATAGCAAAACTTGGGTCTGTCCTCATTGCTTTTTCTCTGTCGGGGGGAGGGGGGGCAGGGAGGGTGGCTGGTCCCACCACCTGGCACTGGTGCGCACACGAAGAGGGCACTGGCCAAGAAGGGGATGAGTGGTGGCTGGACCAGAGGGACCTCATCATCAAGCCCAGAAAACCAAAGGGCTGGGGGGAGAGCCAGGCCAGGTTGGCAGAAAACTCCCTGAAGCGCCCATTGCAACCATCCACTTCCCTGGCATAGGAGGAGCGTCCTGCTGCTCCCTGGTGACCCTTTTCTTCCCAAAGTCGGGGAGGGTCCTTGTGCAGGGTACAGTCTTTTCACTTATCCGGCTGCCCTGCCCTGGCATAGCAGTTGCACAATTGAAACTTACATTGGGATCTGGTATTGGCTGACCAGATGCATCTGGGAAGTCAGAGCTTTAACTCCCATCCCCCGGCAAGAGTGGATTCTATTTCCAGCCTCTGTCTCAGGGGGGCATTATTTCATGGTGATAAACATGAATGTCAGTAAAGAGATTATGAATAACGTTCGGGAACCCTCAGGAGAGCTCTGGATGCTTCCATCCTGTTGCCACAGCCCTACTCCACATGCTCCATGTGCTTACTGCCCATTCCCAGCACCCAGAACCCTCCAGAGTCCTGAAAAGTCTTGTAGGTTGATGCAAACTGGGTGGAAGAGCGGCCATTCAGCAGCAGCAAGAAGCAAGGTGCGTGGGGGGGTAAGGAAAGACCTACTGTGTTGCCGGTTATGGGGCCTGGGCTTGCAGGGCCCTGGCACCCACCTCCTCACCTGGGCTTTGGCTCAGCCAGGCGCAGTCCTGCACTTTCATCTTCCAGGTCAGCTCCTGACTCAAGAGAGCT